TGTAGCAGTGGACTTTATTGAAGAAGTGATTAAGAAGGTTTGTGGCTTTTTTCCCTTTGGGACGTTTGATTATATGAACCGCTGAATGAGTTGGTTCTATGATTCACTTGTTGTTGCTTCATTTTACATAAATATGGTGACAAATCTAGTGAATAGGTTTTTATATACTTGCTTATCGATTTATTTGCTTCTTTGCAGAATGAAAGCATCAACGGGCACCACAAGAATGTCAAGTTTGTGAGTGCTGATGTGACTTCACCAGATTTGACGTTTTTACCTGAATCTGTGGACTTGATATTTTCTAACTGGCTACTGATGTATCTTTCCGACGAAGAGGTAATGTTTTCCTGCTTCCTACATGAAAAGTTCAATAAGGTTCCTCACAGTACAAAATTTATGACCAGTAAGTTATTTCTAAGCTCAAATCCAGGAGGCATGACACGATGCCTAGGCGGACTTCTGCTAATTAAATGCCTATCTTACTAAGAGGATTGTGTAAAAGTCATGGTTGAACTAAAGAAAGAAGTATGACAGACACACACTAAACTATGTCAATAACACAAAATATTTGAATTGACATGATTCATCAATATCATTTTAGTATTATGTCCGATATAACTTCTGTCGTAGTGTCTGCATCTAACAGTGACATGCATAAATCATCATCAAAATGCAGCCTCTTTGCCAGATCATGCTTGCAGTAGGAAAGCTGAAAAGTAAATAATGTTGTATAGGTTATACCAAAGTTTTTGGAACTGGAAAGTATCATCCCTTTAGAAAACTGGAGAATTTGAGTAAAAATTTTCGAACAAGCCTACACTCTATAGTCATTAGACTACTTTCCAAATGTAGATAGGAACATCTATTATGGATGATGATTATGGAAAAATAAATTTCTTAGGATCTCCCTTGCTCTTCATACATGTGTCTTGAATTTCGTATTTGACCGATTACTATATAACATTTCAACCTACTTTTTTCCATTTTTTGCAGGTTCAGGACCTTGCGGAGAGAATGATCAAATGGTTGAAAGTTGGTGGCTATATATTTTTTAGAGAGACATGCTTCCATCAATCAGGAGACCACAAGGGAAAGAACAACCCAACCCACTATCGAGAGCCTCGATTTTACACAAAGGTCATTCTAAGAGTGTTTTTGTCATTCTCACAAAAAATTAGCGCATGAGTGACTAGAGCTTTACATTAGTTCTATGTGTATTGTGATATTTTCTTTTTTCTGAAAGTGAAGGATGAACATTCAATTACCAATATGTCTAGTAATGTTTTCATTCAAGTCCTTACTTTACGACGGCTTAAAAGATCACTCTAAAGTAATCACAAGTTTTTTTTGCTCAGTTTAAACTACTTGATTCTGTTGTTTGATTATCTTCTTCTTCTGATCGTAACTTAATGCAGGTTTTCCAAGAATGTAATTTAAAGGATGATGCTGGAAAATCATATGAACTTTCTCTTATCGGTTATAAGTGCATTGAAACTTATGTAAGAAACAAAAAGAATCAAAATGAGGTATGACTTTGCCATCATCATTACTATTCTGTTAGTTACTATTCACCTGACGTTAAAATCAATGTGTTCTTGCTGCTTGCAACTTGCAGATTTGCTGGATATGGCAGAAGGTTCGTTCCGAGGATGACAGGGGATTCCAGCATTTCTTGGACACTGTTCAGTACAAGTCTAATGGTATACTGAGATATGAACGTGTGTTCGGGGCAGGCTTTGTCAGCACAGGAGGAATTGGTATGCCTCTTGGATTATCACTTCATGCAATAAACTATAGGATCTTTAGTTTGTTTCTCTGGATTATCACTGTGGTTAGGGCTTGTGCACATGTTTCTTCGAACATTTCTGTTTACGAGTTTTATTCTTTCTTTCCAAAAACAATAAGTAATTTAGTACAGAATTAAACTGATATTTGGTTATTCTGTATTTGTTCTTTAACAGACACCACCAAAGAATTCGTTGCCATGATGGATCTTCAGCCTGGCGAAAAAGTCCTTGATGTTGGCTGTGGAATCGGTGGAGGTGACTTTTACATGGCTGAGAAGTATGATGTTCATGTTGTCGGCATTGATCTTTCAGTTAACATGATCACATTGGCTTTTGAACGTGCTATTGGTCGCAAATGCGCGGTTGAATTTGAGGTTGCTGATTGCACAGTGAAAACATATCCTGAAGAATCATTCGATGTGATATACAGCCGTGACACTATCCTGCACATCCAGGTAATTAGCAGTCTCTCATTTCATTTTCTTGGTTATTCTGCAGTCACAATTCTTCCTCGTCCTAACGGTTGAATAATTATCGAGTATTTGCAGGATAAGCCTGCATTATTCAGATCTTTCTATAAGTGGCTGAAGCCTGGAGGCAGAGTCCTCATAAGTGACTACTGCAAAAAGGCAGGACCAGCATCCGAAGACTTTGCAGCGTATATCAAACAAAGAGGTTACGATTTACACGATGTTGAAGCATATGGACAGGTATACATTTATCACATACAATGAATGTGTCCCAATCCTCTTTCTTTGCTAGTCTTTTTTTTGCATGACAATGCTACTTCATAATTTCACATCACAGATGCTCAGAGATGCTGGTTTTAATGAAGTTATTGCTGAGGATCGAACTGAGCAGGTATGTAGTTATCTTTTTTACATCACATTTGAACTTAAAACTCGTATTCTTTCACGTGCTTAATTCTCTTGGAAGATAGTGATGATATGAATCTAAAATGTCTATTACTTGCCTTACAGTTCATGAAAGTTCTCCAGAAAGAATTGGATATTGTGGAGAATGAAAGAGAGTCATTTATCCAAGAATTTTCTGAAGTGAGTGCATTATTGTCATATAAGTATAATTGAAATGTCTAATTATAAATTTCATCTCATTTTGTTTCTGATATTTGTGTATACAGCAAGACTACAATGATATAGTTGGAGGTTGGAAGGCCAAGCTAGTTAGAAGTTCATCTGGTGAGCAGAGATGGGGTTTGTTCTTTGCCAAGAAAAATTGATTTGTCTCATTGTGTGTTGTTTCATTGAAGATAATAAAAATGATTTAAGTTAGATGCTGTAATGATTCGACCTCTACCCTCCGGAGACTCCACTTGTAGGATTACACTGGATATGTTGTTGTTGTATTGATTCGCCCTACTCTGTCAGTTTAACATAATCTGTGAGTTAGTTAAGATCATGTTATCAATAAAAGTTTGCCATAAAGATTTAACTACCTTAGCAATTTAAATTTCATATATTTGATTGTGTAAATTTTTCTTATATTATTAGAGTGTTTTAATTTGTTATAACAAGTAGCCTATCTAATTTTCTAGGTTATTTGACAATGTAAAATTCTTTTTACAAATGCTAAAAGCTCAAATCCAAGAACTTTTAATTTTTTGATAAACAATGCATCACTTTCCTCTTGATTAGCATCATCGATACAAGTGTTATTTGGAGTGAAAAATAAACATACTAAAAATTAACATATATATCAGCAAAATGGAAGTATTAGAGGTTAATAATATACTATGAGCCTTTTTCAGTACAATTCTTTTTGTTTTCTGCCCGATATCCGGAACTTACACTGGAATGTGATTAAATCCAGTTCATGCTGAGAAGTCCCACATTGGAGGGTAAAGTTCTTTCTTACAAAGATGACTCCATAGACTGTATCCAAAAAGACTCAAACCAAAATATCTGATCATAATAGGCTAGGTTGTGTTAAAACTTCAAAATTTTAAATCAATTTGTTATATTCTAGGTCCAATAATCTATTTTAATTTAAAAATTAATTGCAGAAATAAAAAAAATCCACGATAAAGTGTTCAGCTCATTATGCAATATTTTAATCAAATATCTAGTAACATAATCAAATCGGATGATCATAATCTATATCCTCTATCATGATCTTTATAAAGAAGATAATAATTCATTTCCTCTATCAATACTATATGCTTCTTAAATATTTTTCCGCACGCTCAAAACTAAATATATAAAATATGAACATCACAAAATTGAGTAAATCAAGATTATGAATGAGTCTAACTATAATATAATGAAATTTATTGAATTATTAAGTTGTGTTCCTCCACTAATTATATAGAAGAGTTCAGATGAAGTAAGATATTTTCTCTAGTACATAGTTGATGATTTATTATTTATTGCAGACAAGTCAGAGTAATAATATGAGACATAGTACTGTATGAATAAATTATGCAATTATGAGTCGTCAGAAGTTTAGTCGGTTTCGTCAACTCTTTTACCTAAAAAAGGCCGCAACACGCCCTACACACGCCTCACTCCGTACACGCGGCTCACTCACTTCCAACTTGTCACATAGCCCCCACCTCCCTCTCCCATCGATATATTCGGTGTAATTTCACGAATAGTTTTAAACAATATAAGATATACAATTAGGAGCGGTTTAACGTAGTTGGGAGCTTAAAGCGAAATTTCAATTTGAGGTTTAAAATATAAACAAACTTTGTATACACATTTAATCAAATTTTATTTCTATTACTAGTAATAAGTTAACAAATATTGAATAAAGATAAGAGTTAGAACCATAGAATCTCATGAAGTTGATGACTTGTTATATCCCATTTTAATATATTTGTTGTAATGCTTCAAGCTAAATTTTAAAAACAAATAAAAAAGAACTTATAGTTCACTTTGTTCAACACCTTTAAGTTTTCATTATTATTTATTTTTAACAAAGTACAAAAGATGTTAAAATGGGTAAAACAATATATTTTTAAAATATTATACTTTTAAACATAAATAATCAATTTTTTCTATAAATTTTTTAATACATAATTTATTCTAGATAAAAATTTGGGGACCTAAGGCATAAGCCTTATTTTACAAAGCACAGAGCCTCCCCTGTATACAATAATTTTAACAGCATAGCCAATGAGTCATATTCATCCTTCGAAGTTCACTGTCGATTTGGAGGTTGGTCATCCAGACCTAGGATCGATTTTCGTCAATGCCTTCTGAATTGAGGCTTGCTTAGTATTGTTTATAGCTATTATGTAATTTGCAGACTATTACATAAATAGTGAAGGATTTATCCGTTGCGTTAAGTGTATTTACTTTTCTTTTTAATTCACAAACTTTACTCTCCGTTTCCAATAATCAATTACTCTCTTAATGACAAATACAAAATCATTTACTATTTTACTCCATTTTGATTTGCATTAACAAAAACCGAAAAGATACTCCCCCCTCCTCCAATTTTTTGATAATTCCTTTTTTTTAAAAATTGTGGCATTCATTTATATATAATCACTAAATTTCAACTAAGAATCTTTAGGACAAAAGTTATTTTATGGAAATTTAACAGCATTATAAATAATACATATAATCACTTTGACCTGAGCTATCCGTAAGTTTCATATATTAAAAACAACTACTTTAGCACTTTGACGTAACTTTAATATCTGTTCATATTTAACTAAAGATATTACTTTAAAAAGACGATTTATATTTAAAAAAACAAATTCAAATGAAACAGGCAAAAACTACCGACTCATATAATTGAACTTAATTAAATTTGTGTTTTTTTCTATTTAATTTCTCATTGGGTACTCCATACCCTCAACTCAACTCAATTTGAATTTGCATGAAAAAACGTCATATAATGTGTGTTAAGGTAATTTTATATGAGATTCAAATTCAAAATGTCTAAAATAATAACATATTTAATGATTTCATAAATGGATCTGATTATTCCTTATAAGATACATGTAGATTTTATTTTAATTTTTGTTAGGCTTTAAATCTCGAAATTTGAAATGTGGCTCATAAATTGAGATCGAGGGCAAGGTAAATTTGTGTTGGGATGTACTAATATTATCATAGTAGGATTAATATTTTAATGTAAACACTTAAAATAAAAATAATATTTTTAAATGACAAATTAAATCCGTTGGGTTCAACTGGTCACGAGTAATCAGCTCTCTATCTCTAACCCTGCACCTCTCATTCTCTCTCTATATAACTCCCTATATAAATCTCCCTCCATTTCTATAACGTATTTTCTCCATTTTTCTTATACACAATCGGAAAAAATGGCTACCGAAGGTTCCAAGCCCAGCGTTTACCTTCAAGACATGGAAGAAGTGAAAAAAGTATTTGCACGCTTCGACGCCAACGGCGACGGAATGATCTCCGGCGATGAACTTTCCGGCGTACTCAAAGCCCTAGGATCCGACACTTCGCCGGAGGAAGTTGCACGTATGATGGCAGAAATCGATACCGACAAGGACGGTTGCATTAACATAGATGAATTTGCAGATTTTTGCAAAAACGACGATTCCGTCGACGGCGGCGCTAAGGAACTGAAGGAGGCGTTTGATCTTTACGATCAGGACCATAACGGAAGGATTTCTGCTACGGAGCTTCATCAGATCCTGAACCGTTTGGGCCAGAATTGTACAATTCAGGATTGTACCAGAATGATCACGTCCGTTGATGCCAACGGTGACGGCTACGTTTGCTTTGAAGAGTTTAAGAAGATGATGGGTAATAAATAAACCATTTTCTCTTTGTTGTAACTTTTTCAGTTATTTGAGCGGCTGATAACGGTGAGGTACCGGATATTCGTGCGTCCTTCTGTAGTGTATAACTTTGTGGTCTAATAAATAGCAAGACCTTAGCTTTCGATCGGCTTTTATTTCGCCTGTAATATCCTGTTCGTCTTAATTTATGTGATTATTTGTATTTTTGAGTATTAATTTATGTTAATTTAAATATCTAAGATTATATATAAAAAAAAAGGGAAAAGGATTATATTTGCCCTTTAACTCTTAGAAAAGGGTCATATTTACCCTTCATCATACTTTTTTGATATATTTGTCCTTACCATCCAACTTTAGGCACATATTTATCCTTGTACAGTTAAGTATTGTGTCATCATTTTTAATAGTCTATGTGGCGCCTATGTGGCTCTATTTTTATTATAATTATAATTTTATTTTCTATTTAGTATTCTATCTTACCCATTTAGTAAAGTTCGACCCAACCAAAATAAAGACCCATTAACCCGATTCCAATACCCATCCTTTCACATTAATTTAGCCATCAAAACATGATAATATAGAGACACCGACCTTCAACTTTCTCTTCATAGCTTTACACGATCTCAGAAGAAGCACCTTTTTATCGTAGAGAAAAACTTGTTGAGAAGATAAAGTTTTACCAAAGCGTCCACAAGCACACAACAAGCTGATGTATTGCATATGCTATCAGTACTCCATAGCACAACACATTTGCTCCTCTGTTTGGGGTTCTGCATAATTGTATCAAACGGTGTTTGTGTGGAAATAAGCATGCCAATTAGTGCGCGAAAAAAAATAACAGAGACAACTTATAGATTGAAGTCTTCGATAAAGAGAGAAAAGTCATTCATGTTTTGATTCTGCTAATCGATCGGATTTCTTGTCTGTCGCTTTAATTTTACTTCTATAGTTATCGAGTAAGCGTGAATGAAAAGTTTGAATTTTGATGCTCTTCTTAATATCACTATTTAAGTTTTAAGTGACACACACAACAGCTTAGGCTTCCATAAAATAACAATTGCATTAAGCCAAAAACAATCAGAAATTCAGAACTCCTTATAGTACTCAGCAAATTCACACACGCTCTTTGAAATCAGCTAGTTGTTGTCATGTTGTATAAGATGCAACGAGCTAAAGGACTAACATTCTTGAGAGTTGTCAATATCATATACCTGGAAATGGTACCCTTGGGAGTTTTACTGCAAAAGGTATCCAAAATTGCGTTCTTGAAGATTCGTGCAAAAGGATGCATAAGGTGCCAGAATATGTTTCTTATAGAGATCTTTTGTCCAGATTTTGAAAAGATTCAAAGAAACAAATACTAAGGATAAAACTCTTACCTATTGTTGGATCTTCTCTCTCAATCAAGACATGAATGGCTTTTCTCTCTATATGAAGCGTTGCAAGAATGACGAGTATAGAAATTAGGGCTAACAGGTATTGAAATCGGGTTAATGGGTCTTTATTTTGGTTGGGTCGGATTTTAAGAAATGAATCGGATAGAATACTAAATAGAAAGTAAAATTTTAATTATAATTAAAATATATACACATGGAGCCATGTAGGCGCCACATAGACTAATAAAAATGATGACACAATACTTAACTGTACAAGGGCAAATATGTATCCAAAGTTGAATGATAAGGGCAAATATATCAAAAAAGTATGACGAAGAATAAATATGACCCTTTTCTAAGAGTTCAAGGGCAAATATGACCCTTTTCCGTAAAAAAAAAAATGCTATAAAATCGATGAGCATGCTTTCAATGAAAATTCATACGAAAGAAAATGTTCCTTCCTATTAAGAATTCTTTCATACTAAACTTAAATTTAAAACTTTTGATTAAAGAAGGAATAACTTTATCCGCTCCACCATATCCTGTTATAAAAAGTGATAGTTCCCACAAAACAAAAATTTGATGTAAAGGCCATTTTCACAAGTATGTCTGCCACAACGAATTTGCCTCTCTGAGAGATCACTTACCTTCAATACCACTAAAAGTCACCAACAAAATTTTCAATGGAAGAATCATTCCATTTTATTTAAGTTTTACATAAAGTTATTGAATAATTCTTTTACAATAAAAAGTCGTTAAGACTTTGATCAAGTGTCATATAATCTCTTTCATTATTTTTTTTCAAATAAGTTCTTGTGATAGCAGGCAAAAATGAATGACTTTTTGCTTACAAACCTTTTTTATGAATTTTTGTGATACTTCAATAAAAATAATTGAGTTTTTTTCTACAAAAGATATTTTAGTAAATTTAGTGCAATAAAATAAATTCCAAGAACTAACTCCAGTCTTATATATGGAATCTTTACACAATAAGATGAATCTTAAGTAAATATTGCAATAAATAATAATCGGTAATTTCAAGAAATTCTTATTTGCTAATAATTTACTATAATTTGTTAAATTATGCAAGAAAAGCTTTAAATTGACAAAACATTCACCAACTCACGAAGCAAAAAAAAAAAAGAAAATAATTCCGTCTCAATTTAACTATCGTTTTAGCTCCAAATAATTGTACTAAAATAATCATCACTTTAGGAATTAAAATTGATAATTATTTTTAATTATAACCTTAAAATTACAAAGTATTTGCCTTTTTTTGAATAGAAAGCAAGTTAAAATAAGACGAAAGGAGCAACACATACTAATTGTTAGTTTGTTACCTTTACACGTACTAAACTTCCTTATTTGCACTTTCCAATTAGTACTAATTCCTTATATATATATATATATATATATATATATATATGTTGTCCATTTATTTCCTTATTCATACTTTCCTTCTTATTTATGCGTTTAATACATAAAAATTATGCTCTATAAATACTCCTCAAAATCTCAGCTCTCAACAAAATAGTAAACATGGCAGACATAGAAGATGGAGGTTGCGAAGCAACTTGTATCAATTTTTCAGAATGTCTTTACATCATCTTTTATGCGTTGATCGAAATATTTGTTATCAGTTTCATGTTTTACGTTGCATTCATCAAACCACTTGCTTGTTTACCGCATAAATTCGATATATTCATCAAAATTTCTGCAATTGCACTATGTATCAGATTCGTGCTCAGTTTTATTTATCGATTCTGCTGGTGCTGCAGAAGAGGACATTAATTTTGAAGACATCTAGAAGATTATTTTTAAGTTAACTCTACTTTTTATTTTTATTTTTTTGGTTATAAGTTTTAGTAGATTTATAATTCATTTATTGCTCTGTTTTATTTAGCATTCAAATTATGGAATAATTACAATTAGTTTCAGAGTTTTACAATTATATGTAAACATGTTGATTTATTTTTTTCCAATCAAGTCATATACTCCCTCTGTCCACTTTTAATTGTCATGTTGTGCTTTTTGAAAGTCAATCTGACTAATTTTCAAAGATCACATTAATTCAATATTTTAAACAAAAAAATTTACATATTCAAAAATTATAGGAAAAGTACTATAAATTCCATTTTTTTTTTGCATATCAATATGATGAAAAAAATATATCGTAAAATATTAGTCAAAAGTTATTATCGTTTAACTTTAAAAAAAGAAACTATGTCAATTAAAAGTGGACGGATACAGTAATAAGTAGTATGTTTAATTTGTGAATTATTAAACGCATAATTAATGTTGGAAAAACAATAATAGTGTCTCAACTATATTACTTATATCATCTCTTTATATTCTTGCATTTAATTGCCTTTATGGCTTTCTTTATGAGAACTTTTGGACTTTATTATCCCTTTCTTGAATAGCCTATGTTTGACCATTTTTCTAACATAATGTCAAAACGTTAATATTTCCAATTGTAACAGATTTCGTTACTTGGACACAGAGGCGTATTCAGGATTTTGAGATGATGGGTGCACTATAATAAAAAAGTTGATCTATAATATAAATTTGATCGATTCGATATTTAGGTTCTTACTACTGAAAATCGTTAAAATTTTAAAATTATAGGTCTAAAATTAATATATATATATATATATATATATATTAAATTAATTAAAATGCCAAAAGTGCTATCAATTACCACTTAGAGAAGTGTTATCTAATTTTAGAAAGAAAAATAAAACAAGATAAATACAAAATTCAAATTTCTAACCTCTCGGAGAGAGGTGCACCCAGTCACAATCGTGTTATGTGATACTCCGAGTGTGGGTTCACACATCTATATTTCAATATTTTAAAAAAAATATAACATTACTATATATAATCTTGGGAGGGGACCATGGGTTCACGTGAACCCGATGACCCCCTTAGATACGCCTCTGCTTGGACATTATTCCTCTTAATTTTGTTAATAGTCCATTATTCGTTGGAGCTCTTTGACCATATTATGGTATATAATTCATCTACAAATACTCAAAAGTTTTTCTCTATGTAGAAAAGATATCAAAAATACATAAATTTATCCTCCTTCATAATGATAATTTTCATTTTTATCGATTTTTTGTCGGTGGTTTATGTGCTCCTAATTTCTATACCGAATAAATTATCTTTTAAGGAGAGTTTCCCTACAATTTTGTGACTGAATATTTTCCCTAAGATTTCCAATGATTAAGGACCAAAAGTAGAGCCAGCAACAATATAATTATATTCCTTGTTCACGTGTTTAATAATTCACTAGATATGTGTTTCACGTCAATCAATAAAACTATATATCCCATTACATTGCCAAAGTATAGAATTAGATAAATTACACATACTATATAGTATAGAAGATAAATTACAAAATTATTTTTTAATTTATTGCTTTTGAACTAATTAATTGTTAGAATAAACAATAGGAGGCGTGAGTCCTAAAATATAGAGGTTTTGTTTAATAAATTGAATCCGAATTTGTATAGGAATCCATTATTGTAACAACTATAAAATATGACCCTTTTAATTCTTAAAAATTCTTCCTAACAAAGGCGACTCTGTATCTAATCTCAGTTATCAACAATTAATAATTAGGTATGGCAGGACGTCTTCAAGCATGCCTTAGCTTCGTCGAATTTTTTATTAAACTGTTTCTGTTCAGTTTTATTTTATACCGTTCATTCAAACCGCCAACTTGTTTACTCTTCAAAATTATTATAGTTACACCGAGTGTGTGTCCTTTTTGAAGCAATTCTTTGAAGGAGTCCTTGACTTAATCTTATATTTGCATAGCTTCAAGAATCAACAATTAGAAATCCATAGAGAAGATTAGTGATGTTACTTTTTAACTTTTTTTTTTTTTATTATTATTAATTTTCTTTAATATTTTTGAAAAGTTACTATCTAAAAAGTTTTTTGATCCAAATTATTTCCTTATATCATAGGACCTATTCATAACTTGAGAGAGTCAAGTCGTTGCTGAGAAATCTGAGGCTAATGTATATCGTAATGCTTTTGTATTAGCTGATAAAGAAATACAGAGTACATCATAGTGTATTTATACAATTTCAAGTCGTGCAGAGCATAGAGAGTAATACTTCTAATACAAGACAACCATCTAGAGATAGAGTTATACTTTAACATGGACTATATATCTAAGATTACCACTAGTAACTAATAATTATATCTAACTGATCTTATCTCGATCTTTAACACTTCCCCTCAAGCTAATTGGAGGTGAGTTTACTACTCTTAGCTTGTCTCTGAAGAACAGGAATTGGTCCTTTGCCAGTGCCTTCGTGTGAATGTCTGCTAGTTGATCTCTGGATCGAACAAATTGAGTGATTAACTGCCCTTGAGCTACTTTTTCTCTAACAAAATGATAATCTAATTCTACATGTTTGGTTCTAGCATGTAATACTGGATTTGTGGTCATGTACAGTGTACTCATATTGTCACAAAACAGTGTAGGAGCAGACTTGATATATATTCCAATATCTTGCAGAATGTAAGTCAGCCATGTGAGCTCAGTAGCTGTAGCAGCTAAGGCTATACTCAGCTTCTGCACTTGACCTTACAACTGTGTTCTGTTTTCGAGAGGACCAGGACACACAATTTGCACCAAGATATATAATGTAACCAGTGGTGGATCTTCTTATTGTTGCACATCCTGCCCAGCCAGCATCCGAGAAACCATACAACTTGAGTGAGGACTGAGAAGTAAAACACAAACCATGAGTAATAGTTCCCTTTACATATCTGAGTATTCTTTTTATAGCTTGGAGGTGCACGAAATTTGGATTCTGCTTGAACTGACTTGCAAGGTTCACAGCATGAGTTATATCTGGTCTGGTTAGTGGCAAGTATTGTAAGCTTCCTACAATGCTCCTATATACTGAGGAATCAACTGGAGTTCCAATAGCTTCATGTAAGCCATGCTTCTGTACTAAGGGAGTAAACACTTCCTTTGCATCTTCCATGTCTACTTTCTTGAGCAAATCAGTAGCATATTTGCTTTGAGACAAGTGAATTCCATCTAGAAAAATAGGTAACTTCAACACCTAGGAAGAAACTTAATTGTCCAAGGTCCTTCATGGAAAATTCAATGCTCAATTTCTTCACAACTTCATCCATTTGCTTTGAGTTGTTGCCTGTCACGATTATGTCATCTACATATAACAACAGTAGTATTGTTCCTGTTGGACTATGGAGAGTGAACAAAGATGAGTCAACTCTATTGCACTTGAAGCCAATGTGGAGCAGATACAAGCTGAACCTTTCAAACCAGGCTCTAGGAGACTGTTTGAGACCATACAGTGCCTTTTTCAACTGGCAGACATGGCTCGAATAGTTTGGATCAACAAATCATGGTGTGACTCATATACACTTCTTCTGCAAGATATTCATGGAGGAATGCATTTTTAACATCAAGTTATCTAATAAACCAATGTTGTGTGACTGCAAGAGATAGAACAACTCTTATAGTAGTTGCTTTCACAACAGGGCTAAAGGTTTCTTCAAAATCTATTCTTTCAAGCTGTGAGTAGCCCTTTGCAACTAATCTCACCTTATGTCTTTCAATTGAACCATCTGACTTCATTTTGGTCTTAAACAACCATTTGGATCCTACTACATTCATCTTAGTAGTTTTGGAAACCAAAATCTAGGTCTCATTTTCATGCAGTGCTTGCAACTCCTCATTCATAGCTGCTACCCAGTGTGGAATGCTAAGTGTTTCTTTGAGGGACATAGGTTCACTAAGTGCAGTGTTTTTCCTAGTTGCAGATAATGAACTATGAGATAAGTTTTTAGCTTTTGACTTGGTTATCATGACATGTTCTGATGTCGATAGTTGAGATGGAGCCTGTAATTGAGGTTGGACTTGATCAGTAAAGAGTTTAGATAGATCATCCTCAAATTGAAGTCCCCTTCGATCCGCAATGTTGAATTCTTGGGGCTGCTGCTCATCCTCATATAGTTGTGTTTGCATCATTGCAGCATCTTGTGCCTCATTAGGAGAATCATTAGATGAGTTCTCAAGTGATGCGGGAGATGTAGATGGTGACAATTCCTCGGTTTATTGTTGAGGTTCTTCAGGTGCTAGTTCATTTAGCAATATATCAGCAGGAAGATGCTCAGATGAGTCAGACTCCTGGCTTGGCACGTCATCAATTGTGGTCTTTGATTCTGAGAAAATTCAGAGAATGTGGCGAGATGAATGGAATCTGCAGAATCATTTTCATTGTTGTTTCCCTGCACATAAGGAAGAGTTAGTTCATCAAAGACAACATGTCTTGATATAAAGACCCTTCTTGTGGATGGATAATAGCATATGTATCCTTTGTGAAGGCTACTGTATCCAATGAAGACACATGGATATGTCTTTGGTGAAAACTTGTTGCTTCTTTTGATGTAGGGAAAACACCTGTACCCAAACACCTTTAAGCTATTGTAATCAGGATGTGTTCCATAGAGTTTATGGAAATGTGTGTCCTTAAGTACTGAAGATGGTAACCTGTTTATAAGAAACACAATTGTGTAAGGAAGGCTTTCGTCCACATAAATAAAGGCAGTTTAGCGTGAAACAACAATGTTAAATTAGTCTCTACTACATGCCTATGTTTCCTTTCAGCAATACCATCTGCTCAGGTGTATTTGGACAGGATATATACCTAACAATACCACAATTTTCCAAGTGGTTAATGAACTTTGAGCTAGAGAATTCATTACCTCCATCACATTGGAATACCTTAATGCTTTTAGTAAACTGTTTTTCAACCATTTTTTGGAACTTAACAAACACTTCAAAGAAATCTGATTTCCTTCTCAATGGATATAGCCAAGTGTATCTACTATGATCATCCAAAAACAATGCATAGAATTTCATATGTTGTGAAGACTCAACTAGTGCAAGACCCCACAAATCACAATGTATTTTCAGCAATGGTTCTTTCTCAGTTTTATTTCTCAAATTAAAAGGTAATTTACAACTTTTTCCCATTTGACAACTAACACAAATAGTAGGATTTTTATTCCAACAAGTGATATTGATACATTTGTTTTTGTCTAAAACTTCTAAAAATTTAGAGTTTGGGTGCCCAAGTCTGGCATGCCAAACATCACTAAAACTAAATCTAGAACTTAAACTACTCATTCATGTCTGTGTTGTTGCCAATGCTAGCAGATTGTTGTCTTCCAAGGCATAGATACCTCCCCTTCTAGATCCATTGGCCAACTGCTTCCCTGTTACCTTGTCCTTTACATCAAAAGTTGATTCGTCAAACTCAATTGTAAAGTAATTATCCTTAGCTAGCTTACTTACTGACAAGAGTTTCTTCTTAAGTTCAGGAACAACAAGGACCTCATTTAGTTTTAAACCAGATACACTTCCACTACCTATGTGAGTGATATTATGTTCACTTTTATTTCCCACTACAATCTTATCGGTACCTTTATAAGGTTCTAGATTAGATAACTTACCTAAAGAATTTGTCATGTGAGTACTTGCTCTTGAGTCCACTGCATTATCTCCAATGTTAGGATCATTCAGATTAACAGATGCTAAGGCTCAGGGTAAGTCCTCTGATGCTTGGTATGAGAAATTCCACTTATAGAAGCATTTGAGTGCGGTGTGGTTGTTCCTACCACAAATTTGACAAGCAACAACTTCTTCCTTCTCCCTGGAGGGATTTTCAGTGCCTTGTCCTTGAGCAGCTTGATGTGTGCTTTGTCCAGATGGTCTAAAACCTCTGCCTCTTGAGTTGTAGTTCATATTTCCTCTCTTTGAATAGAAGTTTCCTCTACCCCTATAGTTGTTGGACCTGTTTTGATTTACCTATTGAGTAGTGAAGGTTGTGTTATGGTTAACATGTTGTGATTCTTCTCCATCATCTTCCCTGAGATCAAAGCCTCTCAATGCATTGATCAGTTGGTTCAAAGTTGTATAAGGTGGTTTGCCAAGCATGACAGTCCTGAAGGTTTTATACTTAGGACCTAGTCCTTTGCCAAAATTTATCACCTTGATATCCTCATCTACTGGCTTATGTATGGCTGCTAAACCATCACATATGCCCTTGAATTTTTTCAAGAATTCATATGTAGACTTGTTTCCAAGCCTGATAGTTTGAAGTTGTTGCTTCAATTGGAATTCTTTGTCCTTGGTAGCTTGAAGGTAAGTTTCCTCCAAGGTTTCCCACATATTTTTTGCAGTATTGCAGCCTACAATGAGGTACATGGCTCTGATAGTGTACCAGAGATCCAACTTCTCAGCAACACGTCATTCTCCTCCCTATTATCATTTTCAATGCCTTTATCACTGGTTTTGCCACTGTTTTTGTCACTGCTAGAAGTGTCTTCTTCAGTGATAATTGTTTTTGGTTCATCCCAAATGAGATATGTTAGTCTCATGACTTGGATAAGCTACAACATTTGAGTCCTTCATATCAGGTAATGTGAGGGCTTGAGTTTAATTGAGACTGAAGCAATGAGATGGTGAAGTGAGGAGGTTAAGAGTATGTTGGAGGCTGATGTCATTTGGCTTCTAAAACAGAGTTTTAGTAGTCAAGAATTATAGCGGAACCATGTTAAATTAGGTCTTAGGCCTAACTCACACCCCAAAAGCTAGCTCAAAGGGAAGAGGAGTGCCCAAGCCTTATAAGGAGTCCACTCATCTCATTAACCACTGATGTGGGACATTTGTCATTCTTTAACACCCCACCTCACGCCCAGTGCTTAGCATCTAGTGTGTGGGAAATTTTGATTTTAGGGGCCCCAACATCGGGTGAGATGGGCCCTGCTATAATACCATGAGAAATCTGAGGCTAATGTATAGCGTAATGCTTTTGTATTAGCTGATAAAGAAATACAGAGTACATCATAGTGTATTTATACACTTAGAAGTCGTGCAGAGCATAGAGAGTAATACTCCTAATACAAGACAACTATCTAGAGATAGAGTTATACTTTAACATGGACTCTATATCTAAGATTATCACTAGTAACTAATAATTATATCTAACTGGTCTTATCTCGATCTTTAACAGTTGCTTTATGTTTTTAATATAGTACTAGTAAGTGTGTGTGCAAAACACGTGTGTCTTACCTCAAACAATAAAATTATATCAAACAAAATTATTAAAAAATAGTATCGATAAAGTCTTACCTATACATTTCAATCAAATTAATATCATATAAAGATTTATTTATAAACATTTTATAAATAGTTTACCATTTTTATAAACTCAATAAGCGTGCACATAACTTTTAAAATATAATACTATAAATTATTTGCATATACAATTTCAGAGAAATTCTTTGAAGTTTGACCTCACAACACTAACCTCCCACATAATTTATAATATTAAGCTTAGCTCCCTTATTTTTATTAGTAATTTTTTAACTCATCTTTGATTTGTAATCTGTTGGATCAAGAATTCGAGATAGCAATGAATTTAAGAAATAAGCCTTAATAAAGACTAACAAAAATATTAAGTTGATAAAGAGTTTACAATATTTAATTTGGTATGATGATAACATGAATTATATAGTAAGGATTCATGTTTATTAACATCAATATTAATTGAATCCGAATTTGTATAGGAATCCATTATTGCTACAACTATAAAATATGGCCCTTTAAAGTCTTAAGCGCTCTCTAACAAAAACGATTATGTATCCAAACTCAGTTGTCAACTATTAATACTTAGGTATGACAGTTAGTATTGATGCATTTGGAATTATTGATTGTTCGTTACTATTTTGGAAATTTGCAAGCTCAAAGATTAGATCAAGTATTCAACATCCATGGAGATTGGAGAAGATTAGTCAAGTTATTTATAACTCTTTTTTTTCTTATGATTTTAGTAGTTTAATTTGAATTTTTATCTAGTAGCTTGTGTGAGATTTTTTTATTTTTTTTTGAGGTATTCTGAATTACTTACGTACGCATACGTAAAATTTGGAGTTTCTACGGATAATATTT